AATAGATGATAGTTGTTGGTATATTGGATAATTTTATATTTTGTGGTTTGATTTTCATGCATTTTGTAACAAATGATGGTTGGTAGCTTCTAGGCTGCAAATGAACCGAGTTGTTCATGAACAAGCTCGGCTCGGCTCGGCTCGTTAAGGACTCGGCTTGGCTCAGTTCGTTTAGTAAACGAGCAGAGCTCGAGCTCAACTATTAGGCTCATTTATTTAAATTATATAATAAATATATTATTTATATATTAAATAATATATAAATATATATAAATAATAATATAAATACATTATTGCCAATCTACTGGTATAATCGAATATGATAATTTAACTTATGGTGATATAATTAGCACAATTCAACAAGAAGGATTAAGAATGTGTATCGATTTAAAACTTAGTCAAAAAGCTGCTAAAAACAAGCATAAAGCTAAATATGAATTAAGAAATTTTTGTGAACAATATGGTTTACCTCCTGTTGCTCCTTCACGACGTAAAAATAATAAAAAGAAGTCTTCACGTAAATATTATACTAAAAAGAAATATTCAGCTACCAAATCACCTAATAAGTTTTATACTAAACCCAACAAGAAATATCATAAAAGATAATAATATAAATACATTATTTATATATTAAATAATATAAATAATATTAAAAAAAAATTATCGAGCCGAGCCGAGCTCGAGCCCAGTTTCTTATCGAGCCGAGCTCGAGCTCAATAAATGAGCTCGATAAGTAAACGAGCCGAGCTCGAGCTCAGCAAAGCTCGGCTCAGCTCAGTTCAGTTCATTTGCAGCCCTAGTAGCTTCGAATGACATGTTATGTATTTAAGGAATGCAATTTTATGTTATTTGTGAATGATATATATGATGTTAAATCAATTAAATGTCTATTTTTTATAACTTTAATAGTGCTATTTATGATGTTAAATCAATTAAATGTCTATTTTTTATAACTTTAATAGTGCTATTTTGTATTTTTTATTAACTTTTAATGATTTTTGCAATAATTTTATGACATATAATAAATAAAATTAATTATATATATTGAACGTGTCCCCAGCATGTCGTGTCCTCCATTTTTTGAAAATTTGCCTGTCCGCGTGTCCGTGTTGTGTCACGTGTCCATGTCTGTGCTTCATAGTCCATCATACATCTTGCGCTAATACCCCTCAACAAAATGGGGTTGCAGAACGTAAGAATCGTCATCTTCTTGATATGGCTCACTGCATTTTTTTTCTATGAGCGTGCCTCGGTCCTACAGGGGCGAGGCCGTTCTCACCACAGCCTATCTCATTAATCGTCTTCCTACCCAAGTTTTGCAAAAACAAGCTCCACTTCAAGTCCTTCTCAGCTCAGAATCTTTGTTTTCCATTCCTCCTAAAATACTTGGTTGTGTTTGTTTTGCCCACAACCATTCTCCTACTCTTGGTAAGTTGGACCCTCGCTCTCTTAAGTGTGTTTTCCTCGGATACTCCCCTACTCAAAGGGGGTATAAGTGTTATCACCCTCCTTCTCGTAAGTGATTTGTGTCCATGGATGTCACCTTCTTTGAATCCTAATCCTACTTCTTATCTTCTCTAATGTCATAGTCATCCCTTCAAGGGGAGCCTTGGTGTGAAGAGATTCTTATTGTCTCTATTGCTCCTATGGTGGAACCAGTTGTTCTTGCGCCACCTATTACTGGGACCATAGAATCCAATGCCACCAAGGACAGGGAAGGGCAAGTTTATGTCAGGGACAGACAGACAAAAAGTTACTTGGATACAAGAGACCACTTCTGCTCACCCACTGCCATCTCCTGCTTCCGATAAGAGTCCACGTAACTTTGAACCTCTTGTTTCTCTTGAGTCTACTGATATTGCTATTCCAAATACTACTGACCTTGATATTTCTATTGCCAAGAGAAAGGGCGTAAGATCTTGTACTCAACATCCTATCTCAAACTTTGTGTCCTACTCTCATCTGTCTTTCTCTTATAGAGCCTTTGCATCAAACATTTCCTCTGTTAGTATTCCTAACCATTTTCAGGATGCTCTCGCTGTCTCTGAATGGAAACTTGCCATGATTGAGGAAATGAAAACAGTTCGTAAGAATGGTACTTGGGAATTAACTGAGTTACCTAAAGACAAACGATCGGTGGGATGCAAATGGGTGTATACTTTGAAGCACAAAGCAAATGGTTTCATTGAGCGTTACAAGGCTCGACTTGTGGCAAAAGGCTTCACTTAGACTTATGGAGTAGACTATCATGAGACTTTTGCACCAGTGGCTAAGATGAATTCAGTCAGAATACTTCTCTCTGTAGCAGCTAATTTAGATTGGCCACTTCATCAGTTTGACGTAAAAAATGCTTTCTTACATGGTGATCTAAAAGAAAAGGTATATATGGACATTTCACCTGGTTTTGAGGATAATCAGACAGATGGTAAAGTATGCAGGCTTCAAAAGCATTATATGGTCTCAAACAATCTCCAAGGGCTTGGTTTGAGAGATTCACTCAGGCTATGCTTAAATATAGTTTCAAACAGAGTCAGGCAGATCACACTTTGTTTGTGAAACATTCCTCACGTGATAGGACTACAGCTCTCATTGTTTATGTGGATGACATAGTGCTTACAGGCGATGATAGTGAGGAAATACCCCTGTTGAAGAAATATTTAGATAGTGAGTTTCAAATCAAAGACTTGGGAAACTTGAAATATTTTCTGGGAATCGAAGTTGCTCGCTCCAATGATGGGATTTTCATCTCACAAAGGAAATATGTTCTTGACCTTTTGAAGGAAACAGGGATGCTTGGATGTTAGGCCTGTAATACCCCACTAGAACCTAATCACAAACATGGTGATGATGAAGGAGGAGCAGCTATTGATAGGGGGAGTTATCAGCAACTAGTGGATAAGCTTATTTACTTGTCTTACTCTTGTCTTGATATTGTTATTGCTATCAGTATGATTAGCCAGTTTATGCATGCGCCTCATCAAATTCACTTGGTTGTTATGAGAATTCTAAGGTACTTGAAATCTTCTCCTAGAAAGGGTCTCTACTTTTCCAAACAAGATCACCTTAGAGTGGAAACCTATACAGATGCTAATTGGGCAGGGTCAATAACTGATAGGAGATCAACATCAGGATATTGTACCTTTGTGGACAACAATCTTGTCACTTAGAGGAGTAAGAAACAGAATGTGGTGGCTGGATCGAGTGCAGAAGCTGAGTTTAGAGCTATGGCACAAGGTGTGTGCGAACTCTTATGGATCAAACTATTGTTGAGTGATCTAGGGATAGGTCAGACAGACTCTATGTGGCTATATTGTGATAATAAGGCTGCCATCAACATAGCTCACAATCCTGTTCAACATGATAGGACAAAGCATGTTGAGATTGATCGCCACTTCATCAAGGAGAAACTAACTAGCGGCATGATATGTACTCCTTCTGTGAAGTCAAGCGAACAACTAGCAGACATCCTCACCAAGGGAGTTGGGAGTAAACCATTTCATGACATTCTAGGCAAGCTGGGCATGCGAAATATTTTCGCACTAGCTTGAGGGAGAGTGTTAGAATATTTTCTTGTTTCCTTATTTAGATTAGATTGTGATTGATTGATTGATTGTGATTCCTTAATTAGTCAATCAATCAATATAAAAAGGTGATTCCTTAATCAGTGTCTTAGGGCTTCCTTTTGTAACAGTTGATTGATTAATATAAAAGAGGATGACATCATAATCATCACTCAAGCTTTGTATTCTCTTAAATTACAAAGCACACTAGCACACCACAAATAAAATAAATCTAATAACACTAAAGAAAAGAAAGAAAAATACCATTTTCACTCAAACTTTCATCCCCCATTGCCTAATTGGAAAAATTAAGTACTCAAACTTCAACCCGTGTTTCAATGTGGTCCTCTCATCACCCACATTTCATAATTTTGGCAGAAAGTGATTGCAAGAGCGTGTGTTCAATGAATTAAAGGAAATAAAATTATAGGACAATTTACACTTTTCACGCTCCAACTTTATTTTAAATTCCACTTTGGTCCCTAATTCTTACTCAAATTTTAAATGATGGGTAGCGGGAGGACCATATTGAAATATGAGTTGAAGTCTAAAAACTTAATTATTGCAATTAGAAGTTGAGAAACCAAAGTAAAATTTCTGTGAAAAAGTGTAATTTATCCCAGAATTTAAACAAATTCTGCAAAATATTTCTGAGTAAGAAAAAGAAAGTAGGACAATAATATTTGTAAAATGGTAGCACATTCAATTAAAAAATATCAAAAAAATGCAAGATTCCCTGGCACTGTTAACTTTAATAAAACCATTAACTCTAAAGAAAAGAAAAGAAAAGAAAAGAAAAGAAAAGAAAGGAAAGAAAGAAAGAAAGAAAATAAGAGAGGTACATCCAACAGTAGAGATATGAAATTGTAGGCTGAATACTTCTTGAGAATTGATCTACTGTAAAGTAGGCAAAGCCATTACACATTTAGTAAATTTCTGGTCACATGTTTGAGGATCAAATCATTGATTTTCATTTTCTAGATGCAAATTATATTTTAATGCAAATCTCTAGTGTTTGGTTTCTTGGAATGCAGTGGAATGAAATGATCATTCCATCAACATGTCCATTCCCATATTTGGTTGACTAAAAAAATAATGACATCCACCATAAGGGAATGATCATTCCGTAGGGGGGAATGATCATTCCGTAGGGGAGAATAAGGAATGACGATTCCATTCAAATTCATCTCATTCGAATGAACCAAATAGAACAACAGCTCTTCATAATCCTTATCTCGTAATAAAATTATTCTCGCAGTTCAAAACATTTGCAATTACCCATCAGTGGGGGAAAAAAGGGACTTCGATACGTGGCTTTTGTTCACATGAATCAGATCTAATAGCATTACCAATGATTTTTTCATATAATAGTTAATTATTAAAGCATTCACTTATTATATACTTAGGAGGGGGAGGCGAGGTTTTCAAATGAAAACTAACCAGATTCAACTTCTTAGCTAGCTGGGGGATGCCACAACGATCAGAGAGACCATTATATATCTGCAACATATATGCCAATCAACAAATGTGAAATGTTTCAGAACCAATGCAAAACTATATAGGGATTGAGCCCAGAATAATAATCTGAAGTGAAAAGTACAGGATTATCCCGGAAGAACTGTTCCTCATATGCAAGTGCTTCTGCAATGCTACGGTTCTTATTTATGTCCTGTAATAAATAAATTAGATTGAGCTTAGCCTAACTAGTTCAAATGATATTCACTGTAAAGGCAATGTAACTAAGATAACTCATGACAGTAGTAATAGTTTAAATCTTAACAGAACAATAATTTAAAATGCATCTTGCATGTGACTCTTAGACTACATAATAATACCTAGAAAAACAAATTGGAAACAAGTGATTTCAAAATAATGCAATACCCAACAAGGACCAAACATATACATACTACCAAGTGACAATAACAAAATAAGCATCAATAATATATTGGTGAATAATGTGGCAAATATTACCAGATTAACATTCATATATACCACCAACTATTAGCTATACTGGCATCTCTTGCCAATGGGGATGGCAACGGATCAGGTTTTTCAGGTTTCACGTGAGAATTCTTGCTTTTAAACTCAAATTTTAGTGATATAATTTCATATTTTACTATAAACTTGACAGTTCTAACCTACCTACCACTATACTTCACCCTACCCAATCAATGCTCTCTCAAACTATTTATATTAAAATCGGGTTGGAACAAATACAATCGGGTCAGGGAATTTTGCCATCTTGCCACCCCAAATGAAAAGTTGTACGGCTCAAGTCCTAGTCGTAATAGGAACATGATGTGTGTCATGCTCCTCAAAGAGGGGCTGGGAGCAAAAACAAAAACAATAAAAGGACGGATATTGCAAATATAGTTTTGAACAGTTTACCTCCTGACTGCGATTCACAACACCAATGTAACCTAGGCGAAGTGGAACAACTTTTCCAAGCAGAAAATTGCGGGCATTAGTTCCCCTGTCCATTATGTCTAGCTACATCATGAGTAAAAGTACAATAATAATTAATAGTGTCACTCAAGCATATAACAGAAAGAAGACTAATTTATAATCACAAAAAAATGCTAAAGAAGGGAAAAACAGATATTATAATGTAACACGGACCTTTGTAATTACGCCAATAGTCCGGGAACCTGTTTAGCCAAGTTTTGGGTAAATGAATCAGCATAGCAGGTGAAGATTGACAAACCTCATATACATATAGCTGTCTTAAATAAAATTCTTAGAATTCTAGAAGAGGAGTAAAAAACATGTTTCCAAATCATGTCATCAAAACAAGCAACATTGAAAACCTACCGGTTGGATCGGCCTCTTTAGCCATCTGCAGTGCATCAGATGTTGCCAGATCAGAATTTGCCGGACTAACTGCCAATATGATGCAGGCTTCTTGCTTTATATAAGACATTATCATCTTCCTAATCCTTGCTTCTATATCTCTAGGTTGATCTCCCACAGGAACCTTAGTGATCCCAGGTAGATCAACAAGAGTGATATTAAGAACATTTGGAGATGAGATCTTCAAGCGAATTTGCTTATCTGAAACTCCCTTGTTATATCCAACTTCTCTTTCAGTCTCAGCCTGAACTAACAAGGGGTGGGGGAGAAAGTACAAGGGTTAAAGCATATTCCTTTCTTCAGCAGAAAAGAAATCAATAACAAAAAATGAATGATTCATGTAGGTACCAATTTACCTGTTCCATTAACCGCATAAATACAAAAATAAAAACAGACAATAAGACATATTCAATAATGCATAAGGGCTGTTAATTTGAAATAACAAAAGTTCATAACACACAAAGGAATGGGGAAAACTCATGGTTGAGATAGGTGATAATTTCAGTACTTTTGAGATAAGGAAGGAATTCCTGAAATCAAGTATCCAACAAGGAGAAGAAATGAGCTTTTACGTAAAAAAAACTCACACGGAAAACAATGCTTCAATTCATAAATTTGTGAGAATATTATCGATTGTCATAATTACATAATATTCTCACAAAATTATCATTTTTGGGAAATCCAAATGGGTGCAAAGGAAAGGAACAAACTTGTGTCACAGTTGTCACCATTTTTGTTACCGTCATTGTTTGATGTAGCCACTAAATATCCGGCACCTTTATTCCTGCTTCCACAAGCAGGCAGCTATATTCTCTTTAGTAAACCGAAAAACCAAATTTAGCAACTATGTAGTTATTATTATTAATTATTAGTATTAGTATTGTTGTGTCTTTAAATACAATAATTCTTCGTGTATATTATAAAACAAATCTATCACCAATGGACTGAAACATTGATGATACAGGCTGTGATTGAATAAAACTGGTGAACATTCTCATCAAAATGAGATACATAGATAGAACACTTGACATGCAGTGTTTATGCTGGCAGTGGCAAGCATAAGCTGTGGCAAGTTTGGGAAGTCCCTATTTTAGCTAAAAAGCCAAAAAGTCAGTACCAAAAAGTCAATTTTTCTCTCTACTTTTCTGTACTTCTTTTCCTAAAAAGTCAAAATGTCAACTAAAATAGCCAATTCCCAAAACAACCCCAAGGTATCAATAAAATTGGTCACACTTCCAGCCTATTTAGTCAACATTTTTATACATGATAAGACTGTTGCTGAGGTCCAGATTAATCCAAAAGCACAATCTCCAGTTCAAAACTTAAGGTAGATGCAGTCCATCCCCATCAAGTTTTGATGTACAATTCTGCTTTATTTCCCTCTTTCCTAGACAGAAGCATTACAAATATGTCAACATGAACAGTCATTTTTTATTCTCTAAATTATCCAAGTTTTAGTGCTAATATGTGACTATCCTCAGTTTGTGTCAACATAATAAATTCCCAGTGCAGTTGTGAGAATTTGAAGAAAAACGCGGGGGGGGGAGGAATGTATCAGTCTCCGGCTATGGATAGTATCAAATTATGTGCTTCTCTTTGGGCATCTACCAGCAAAAGTTCTTAGATACTAATCTGAGTACATAATCAGGGATAAATCGACCACCTTCATCCTTCTCATTCCTCTTTCTGTTACTAAACAGTCTAGCTGTCAGCCTCTCAGGAATGTTCTTAAAATTATTGCGGTCAGGTCTGCGATAGATAACCCTGGTTATCAAGCATTTAAGCCCTTTGTAGAGGCAATAATGGCATGCTAGATTGTATTTTATTCCAGGTCAGTCATTGGGTTACCTTAACAAAATTGCATCAGTTGTAAGTTTAGAGAATAGAAATAGATAGGGAATGAGTGAGACCTCATTCCCTTTTATATTGATAATAATGTGTAATTACAGGAGTGCCATCAGGCATAAATTATAGGTCAGCCCATTACATCAATCAATGAAAAATAAAATAAAATAAGAAAAAAATATGTGCAATGTTATTTCCTATTCTAACACTCCCCCTTAAGCTGATGTGAAGATATCTCTCTGCCCACCTTGGTGAGAATTCCATAAAATGGTTTATTCCCTATTCCTTTGGTAAGAACATCCACCAGTTGATCACCAGTCTTCACAAATGGAGTGCATGTGATGTCACTAGTGAGCTTTTCCTTGATGAAGTGCCTATCAATCTCCATGTGCTTGGTTCTATCATGCTGAACCAGATTATGAGCTATGTTGATAGCCGCCTTGTTGTCACAGTACAGCCTCTTGGAATCAATTTGATGAATCCCCAAGTCTCTCAACAATAGTCTCATCCACAACAATTCGCATGCACCCTGAGCTACAGCTCCGAATTCTGCTCTGCACTAGATCTAGCAACCACTTTCTGCTTCTTACTACGCCAAGTGACCAGGTTGCCTCCAACAAATGTGCAATACCCAGAAGTCGATCGTCTATCAGTGACTGATCCAACCCAATCTGCATCAGTAAAAGCCTCCACACTAAGATGACCATGTTTTGAGAAATAGAGGCCCTTTCCTGGAGAAGATTTCAGGTATCTCAGAATTCTCATAACTGTCTCTAAGTGGGTAGTTATAGGAGCATGCATAAACTGGCTAACCATACTTACTGCAATAGCAATGTCTGAGCGCGAGTGAAATAAGTATATAAGCTTCCCTACTAATCTCTGGTATCTCCCCATGTCAACTGTCTCTCCCCCTTGATCTTCACTTAACTTCTGACCCAGTTCTAGAGGTGTGTCACATGGTCTACCTCCAAGCATCCCAGTCTCCTTTAGCAAGTTAAGTACATACTTCCGCTGGCATATGAAGATACCATCCTTAGATCTAGCTACTTCAATGCCCGGAAAGTACTTCAAAGTGCCCAAATCCTTAATTTCAAACTCCTTAGCTAGGTACTCCTTCAACCGAGGCATTTCCTCAACATTATCCCTTGTCAGAACAATATCAACATAGACAATTAAGGCTTTAGTCTTACTAAGTGAGGAGTGTCTGACAAATAAGGTATGATCAGCTTGACTCTGCTTGAACCCATATCTCAGCATAGCTTGAGCAAACCTTTCAAATCAAGCCCTATGAGATTGCTTTAGTCTACAAAGTGACTTTCGGAGCCTACACACTTTACCCTTGGACTTAGCATCTTCGAATCCAGGGAGAATATCCATATAGACCTCTTCTTTGATATCTCCACGAAGGAAAGCATTCTTCACATCAAACTGATGTAGTAGCCAATCCAAATTTGCTGCAAGGGAGAGCAGTATTCTCACAGAGTTCATCTTAGCAACCAGTGCAAATGTCTCCTGATAATCTACCCCATAAGTCTGAGTGAAGCCCTTAGCAACCAATCTTACTCTGTACCGTTCTATGGAACCGTCTGCTTTATGTTTTACAGTGTACACCCACTTACAACCAATTGGATTTTTGCCTCTAGGTAACTCCACTAACTCCCAAGTGTCATTCTTGCTAAGAGCTCACATTTCCTCCATCATGGCATGTTTCCACTCAAGAATAGAGAGAGCATCCTGGAAACTGTTAAGCAGACTCACATACGAAATTTTAGAAAGAAAGGCTTTATAGAGGGAGATAGATTAGAATATGAGACACGATTAGAAATAGGATGCTAAGTATATGACCTAACCCCCTTATTATTAGCAATAGAAACATCAAGATCTGAAAACTCAGGAATAGAAGCATTAAGATCAGAATTACTTGGACTCTCAGGAGAGGCGAATGACTCTGGACGCTTATCCAAAGAAGAAGTAGGCAGTAGAGGATCAGAAGTAGTGTCTTGCATCCAGGTTACTTTATGTCTATCTTTGTTCTTGACATAACCTTTGCCTTCTTCCTTTTCCACAACAATTGTTGGCTCAATATCCTCTATCTGTTAAACCACTAAAGGCAGTGAAACAGGAATCTCTTCATACCAAGGCTCCCCTGAAGGGATGACTATGACATAGGAGAGGAATGAGACACTAGGGAGGTCTAAAAGTAAGACTGATACTCAAAGAAAGTAACATCCTCGGAGACAAACCATTTGTGAGATGGAGGATGATAACACTTATAGCCCTTTTGAGTGGCAGAGTAACCCAGGAAAACACACTTAAAAGACCTAGGATCCAATTTACCACGAGTGGGTGAATGATTATGGACAAAACAAACACATCCAACGGTCTTGAGGGGAATGGAGAACCTAGAAGATGTGGACCCGAACAAAACTTGAAGAGGTGTTTGTTTTTGAAGGACTTGGATAGGAAGACGATTAATCAAATACGCGGTAAAGATGGCGATTTTTCCGTTCTGCAACACCATTTTGTTGACGGGTATTAATGCAAGAAGTTTGGTGAATAATGCCATGAGTGGCGAAATAACTGGCAAGACCAGAGTCAATATATTCCCTCCCCACCCCCTCCTCCTCCATTATCAGAATGCAAAAATTTTACAACCGCCCCAAATTGAGTGCAAACCATTTTATGAAAGTTTTGAAACACAGAAAACACCTCACTTTTATCTTTCATCAGATATACGCAAATGGCCCTAGAACAGTCATCTATGAAAGTAACAAACCATTTTTGACCTTTTAAAGGCACAAAACGTTACAGACCCCATACATCAAAATGAATCAAAGAAAATGGAACTAAACTTTTATTAATAGAAGGAGCAAAAGAAGCTGTGTTGTTTTCCAAGTTGACATGACTCACATTGAAAATCAGACACATTATTTTTCTCAAAAACAGAAGAAAATAAATGTTTAAATAGTAAAAAGGAGGGATGTCCTAAGCGACAGTGCCACAGCCAAAGGTCTTCCTTGGTGGATGGTAACTGAATAGATGAATAAGCCAGCTCGTCTGTCTAATCCAGAATGTAGAGACCATGGGCTTGTTTGGTTTGTATTTGAGAAACATGTTTTGACATAAAAAGTACGAAAATTTGTTTAGTTTGGTTTTTTTTCAAAAGATGTTTTGAAAAATTATTTTGAGAGAGAGTTTTGGAAAAAAGTGATTGATTTGATGTGTATGAGAGAGGGATTTGTTTGGAAAACTTGTAAACCAAACAAGTTTTGGAAAAAAAATTTGGGAAAATTTGTTTGGTTTGACTACTTTTGAAAACTTATTTGTAGAGAATTTTTTCCAAAATTTTTTGAGAAACACAAACCAAACAAGGCCCATGTTCCTCTCTACCACTGCCAA